GCTCGGGCCTCGTGCCAGCGGGTCCCTGCCATGGGCGCCGCCAGCCCTGGGCCCGGCCCGCGGGGCTTGCTATCTGGAGCAGGTCGGCAGCAAGGGTTTCAAATGTGCGGTGCGCCAGAGTGCAGGCGGGGAGCGTGGGGTGCGCGGGGGCTCCGCAGAGCCCGGCAGGAGCCCGCTGGGTCCATGAACCGAAGCCGCAGTTTAATAATGGCCGGCTGCTGGCGGTCACGGGAGATGGTCGGGTCATCTCAAGCTACCGACACACCCTGCTGGCTCCAGGACACGGAGGACCGACGGCCCTCGCGGAGTCAGAAAGCGAAGGGCGAACGCCAGCACCAGCAGCTCGGCCCCCACCTTCCGCCCCGGCTTGAGGGCAACCATGTGCTTCTGCGGGGGGGTGGGTCGGGCCAAGTCGTCTCAGTGGGGTTTGGCAACACGTGTGGGGGCGCTTTTCCAGGGAAAGACCCCAGAACGGCGTCACTTCTGTGACATGTGGACACTTCTAGATTGTTCTCAGTAAGCAGAGGAGGCCCTGACTCAGGCCTTCCGAACACCGTCCTGTGTGTTTCTTCTCCATCAAGCGAGACCACATGGTAACTGACCCCCCTCGCGCTGGGCCAGCGCGGGACGCAGCAGGCTCACTAGAGCTCGGACGGGACGGGTGGCCGGTCCGGAGCGCTAATGCTGGCGACACCCACGGGCGGGAGCGGCCGACACCCCCGGCCGGGCGTCCTAACTGTCTTTCCTGCACTTGAGAACACGCGCTGGGCTCCAGGGGGCTCGTGGCTCTCCTCGGAGTCTAGGCGGCCTTCACCATCTACTGTCAAGAGGGCTGTGCAGTTCCACAGGGGGGATCTGACGTGACAGTGCACAGCCCCGAGGGGCAGAGGCGGCGCCCCAACACTCGGGACTTGTACGGGCAGCGTGAACGGTCGGGCCTAGGGCTTCGGGCCCCGGGGAGCTTCCTGAGCCCGTTCTCTGAGATTCCGGGGGAAGCCGGGCAGCAGCCCCGGGGGCCCTGCGCCTGGGCGGGTAACCCGCAGTCCCGGGGTCCCTGCCCCTGGGCGGGAGACCTGCAGCCCCGGGGGGCCCTGCCCCTGGGCGGGAAACCGCAGCCCCGGGGGCCCTGC